AGAGAGAGAGAGGGGGAGAGCTGTGGGTGAGATGTGGCCAAAGGGTGCTCCTGGAGCTCTTTCTATATCTTGGGCACATGGCCAAAAGACTCCTCCCCCTATTTTTTTTATTTTTTAGTTTTGCTTTTCTTTTTTTAGGTTTTTGAAGTGGTTACTACTCAAGCGAGTCCACTCGGATGAGACTCGCCCAAGTGACTCAGCTTGGGCCAGGGCCGAGTCCTTGGTGTGAACCGAGTTCTAAAACACTGATATCAACAAATGTGTGCAAAGAAAGAATAACATGATACATGTAGCATATAAACAATATGCTGCACATAAAGCCCAACCATTCAGATATGAACCTTTCCTCCACTCAGGTCCTTCATGGTTGAGGTTCTAAGGAACATTCAGTTCTTTTATCACTAGAGAAACAACTATACTATAAAATAGAGCACATATACTATGCTCCTGCAGAGCAAAACTTTTCATTTGCTTCATTGGGTAAAAAATGTACTGGGAAAGATTTTTGGATCTAAAAATTAGGGATCCATTTAAATATCATCAGATGATTATTTTCTTTAAAAGAAAAAAAAACTAGATTTTGAGCTCTTTAACACTTATATCTTGCTATCCAAATGGACGATGTTTGTTCAATTTGGTACACTTTTTCCCAGGCTCATAGAGCATGTATTTGAATTTTTTTTCTTTTTTCGAGGTAGTATCTAGCAATTAGAAGATACACCCCAGCGTTTGAGGCCTTAAAAATACCCGTAGCTTGGTTTTTTCCCTAGGGAGTAAATGGATAGTTGGCATAAAAATATCTAAGACCATTTTCCTTGTCACAGTGTCTGAAGAGTATTCCAGAGGCCAGCATGCTTTGACCAGATGAAAAACAACACCTTTTCAATGTTGAAGAAATCCTTTTCAGAAAAGTACAATTTAATACACAACATTTTCCAGCAAATATTCTAGTGAAATATGCAACTATGTAAGAGTGGTGTTCTGCTTGTTTCTGTAGAAGTTGAATCTGCAAACTCTGGATCACTTTAAGCACAACTTTGAGCAAACATGAGAGCAATCAGAACAATTTTTAATTATTTTCATAAGAATAAAATACCCCAAAACTTTTCAAACTCAAGCAAATATAAGTGTAATCAGAGCAAATTTTTTATTATTTTCATAAGATAACCGCATGGCTGAAAAAATTTCAAAACTCGAGGATCTTGGTTCTTACTTTTAAATCACATATAATTCTTCCATGGCTTACCTGCAACCATAGACAGGGACGATATCTATGAGCTGTGCAAGGCCTTTTATCAGTCTTTTCCATGCTTCCAGCACTTCATGTGCCACAGGAATGAGGTCAGGAACCAGCAATCCATTCTTTGGGGGTTCAAGGTGCTTCTCTATTCCTTTTTCAGCTAATTTCTTATCTGCCCTTGCAGCCCGCTGTATTGTCTTCAGTGGAATTGGATATGGCTTTTTCTTGTTCTTTGGAAGGATAGGAGGGAGATCCACATTTTGAGGATATTTACTTCTTTTTATGTTTGAAGCAGCTCGTACAGAAGCATGAAAAATAGTCCTGGGAGCTCTTTTTCTATCAGAATGAAAAAGTTATACAAACTGCACGTACAGTCAAAGAGACATGCTTTCATTTAAAAGTCAAAACGCCAAACACATCAGTCCAAACTCGTGTACTTCTTCCAAACTACACATCAGCATTTTAAAAAGTATATTCTCGCTGCCAACTTGGCCAAAACAGTTCATTTCATCGCAAACCAAAAAGGATAAAATTATCACAAAAGATAATCACTTATCACTCAGCTTGTTTCGACCAAATTGGAAGCAATATTTGGGATGTAAAGCTCGAAAGCTATTCAGAAGCACTGTTTTCATTGATTCTGCACTAGAAGAGGCTCATGCATTGCCTACTGGCCTGCAGCTTCGCCCCTCCGTGTCTAGAGTGCCTGCTACTTGTAGTGGGGGACTGCTTGAATGTCATAAGATGTGCCTGCAAAAGATCCCCCATTACATATAGGGTAGCTACGTTATTTGGCACGAAATTTGACATTTTTTACACTAAGGATTTGACTAGTACACATTCTTGGAGGAGCCAATGACAATGCCAACACCCTTGCCAATAAAGGTATACTTTGATAGTTGTTTTTTATTGAAACATTTCTGGTGCAGTAGTCCTGAATTGTCGCTTTTACATCTATTGGCCAACATATTTTCCTTTAAGGTTTTTGTACTTTTATTTTATCAATAAAAAAAAAAATATAGACAAAAGAAGAACAATTAAGAAATTTGCCACAACAAATATGATACACAAGTACAGTAAAATACCAAGGAGTTTGGTCAGGGGCGGAAGGATTCGAACCTCCAAATATCAGGACCAGAACCTGTTGCCTTCTTTGCCAAGCCCCATCTCTATTCCTATTTGACAGTAATAAATACTAATATCAATATTGGTCGTTCGTCAATTCCAGCCCATACATCTATGGAATAGGTTGTTTCTCAGAAATGAAACAAAAGATAGGGTAGAACTAGGACAGTTATTATATGAGGTCTAGCATGTTCCCTTTTTTATCATAAATATCAATAAACCTCTCTATCGTCTGCGAAAAAAAAATGAAGACAGGAGCTTCGTGGGAGGCCCTTTATCAAATTTGAACCGATGACTTTTGCATTACCATGGCAATACACTACCGCTGAGTTGATAGCGTCGACTCGTGTCCTAGATTGTCTAAGAGCTAAATTCACTTCAGTTGTTTGTCTCTTGCCTTCAGCTCTACTCAGGTTAGCTTAAGCTATTTCATGAGTTTGCTAAGATTCTTGCTGATCAATGCCACTATCCTTCTCTGCATCATTTACTAACATGGTTATTTCATTTGCCCATTCTAACGAAACCACCCATCAAAGCCCTTTTAGCAATTGCTCCTAAAGGCATATCTCTCTTTCGGAAAATTGATTCTTACTCGGAGAGTGCATAACTGCATGGGTAAGCTCACACTAACCCGTCAAATTGGGATTCAATTCGGGATTTGTCTTAGGAGATATTGGGAAGAAATCGGAATGTAGTAATATCCTTTCATATAGAATAAAATTATCTAGTGATTCAAAAGTTGTACCCATGGGATAGGGATAGAGAAATAAGAATAAACTGAAGATTTCACATAGATGTTTCAAATACCACACATGAGTCACAGGACATGCCTGTTTGACGTATCCCATTTTATATCTTCGTATCCAAGAAGCAACAAATTCGACTTCGCATTGCTCACAAAATTTCGGGTCTTCTTTTTCATCCCCAATGATTCGGTAATTTCCACAAGCACAAATTCCACTTTTTATAGGCCCCCAAAGATTCTTTCACAAAACAATCCATATTTTTCTGGTTTATTGCTTGAAAACTACTGGGTTTTGTCACTTCTCCAACCATCACCCCATTAGGTAGGATTTCGTTGGCCTAAGCAATTATTTGTTAAGGAGAAACTAATACAATTCGAAGTTGTTGATCTTTATATCTGTCGATCTTAGAAGAAAAATTCTAATTCATTCCAATCAAGCTTCCTTCCTATTAATCTGGAAGTTCTTCTTAGATACAAGGAAACACTTCAGTTTCAGAGCCAAAGATCGTAGTACTCGAATGAGCAATCGAAAAGATTTTAGAGCACCTTCAAGCCTAGGTAATGTTCCTCCAACGATCGTGGTACCAAGTAGTTCCTTATGAGCTCTAATACGGTCGGATTTATAAGTAAGCGTCTCTCGTAAATTATGAGCACCACCAAAACCAAATCCCTCTAGAGCCTAGAATTCCGTTGCTTTTATATATATATATATATATATATATATATATATATCTAATAATAGGTAAATACATAACGTTTTGCATTGAAGATTGCTCCTTCACTTTCATTTTCCTTTTTAATGTTAACAAGATTCCATTGATCAAACTTGTATGTACATCAAATATACATCATAGACTCGCTTACATAGAACCATATATACATCATAGACTCGCTTACATAGACTCGCTTACATCATAGACTCATTTGTTTCATGTATAGGGCTTGAGAAAGTCAACAAGATGTTTTTATTGTCATTGGAAACCCCCCCCCCCCCACCCACCCAAAAAAACAAAAAAACAGAGAAAGAAGCTTCCAGCCCATTTGAACTTCCGTGGAAGTTTAGCTTCACAAAGCATGCTGGAGGTAATTTTCACATATTGGGTCCAACCTCCATTGGCATCTTTCCTTTTGCAACTTTCTTGGCACTTAGTTGTTTATTATTTTATTTTTTTGAATAATTTTTTACCACTTAGTTTCAAAATCAATCATGGAATATCCCCAGAAGTCTTTCCCTGCTTGGGTCCATGAGGCCACAAAGACCTTTATTTGCTTGTTCCTTCTTCCCCTCACATTGTTTCTAGTCATTGAAGCACCATTCATTTAGCTCAAGCTATAATATGCGATCCAACTTGGGCAATTGGGATATACCACATTACCACTACTGAAACATCGCTTTGATTGAGTCTTGGCATGACCCAGCTAAACACCAACAGGTTCAATGCAAAGGACCATATATTGGTAGCTACTGGACAATACAAAAGAAGGTAATTTACTGTTTCTGACTCTTGTTCACACATCAAGCAGATTTTTGGGATGCTCACTCCTCACCTTACCAGATGATCAACTGTAAGAATTTTCTCTGTTGTGGCCAGCCATGCAAAAATTTGAGTTTTAGGGAGGGCAGGAATGATCCATATCTTACAAGAAGCTGAAGCAGGTGGCTTAATCGATAAAACTATTATTCAAATGTTTGCCACTGAGTCAAAATCTGATATGTGGACTTGAATGAAAATACGTTTGTATCAAGTCTCGATATCAGCTTGTCTTCTTTCCTTGCAAAATATAAAAGTGCCACTAATAATTCTGCTAGGAATTAGCCAAACATTTGATCTCATCCTGTTTCAATGCTCTTCTGATGGTCTAGGTGGCTTGGAGCCCCTCTCTTTCCACTGCTTCGTCGATTCTGATGTTTGGGCCTGGTACCTATCCTTGACTGGTTCATGGCCCATCCAGCATCTTGTTCGCCTCTTATATTGCACTTTTATCCTTTTTGCTCTAAATAAAGGGAAAGTCTTATAAAAATCAGTTTAAACTATTTCCACCCCCCTGAAAGACTGCTATTATTTTTCATTGCCTCGAGTAGCCATCCTGCTTCATCCTCCCAATACTTCTTTCAACACTACCTATTTCCATGAATGATTTTCTTGTGTACCAAGCCTCCACCACCACTCGGCCAGTAGTACTGAATTTGTTTCCCTGATTCTTCTAATCCTCAAACCCCCTTTCATTTTTGGGAGGCACTCTCTTTCTCATTTAGCCAAGTGTATTTGCCTTTGTTTGATGAGCCACCCCACAAGAAATCTCTCATTAATTTCTCAATCTTGTTTGCAGTGGATATAGGCATGCCGAACATCCACATACAACATATGGATAGTTTTTACTAAATTGCTTTGATGGTTGAAAAATAATTAAAATCTAATTTCAACTAACTTAGCTCTTCAGGCATGACCAAAATGAAAAACAATGACATGGTCCTAGTGAGAAAAGCTTGCTTCAATTTTTAATGACTCACAAAGCCTTAACAATGAAATATGAGCAATTAAAAACCCAAAATGCAATATGCTTAATGAACAAACACATTTCACGTGAGTCTTAAGCTGAAAAGAACTATCTGTATATAAAATATTTTACTCAAGGTCACAATTTCCCAAACTACGTATCGTTACAAAAGAAATGAAATATAACTGCTTATCTAACAGGAAGTAAACTATTGTGTAGGAATAACTTTATAATCATCATTATCCGAGATTTATCCAAATTATTTGGGGTCGGCCACACCCTCAATCAAACTATAAGTCACCATATCTCTTCTCACTACTTCCAACGATATCCATTTGGGTATTCTCATTGCCCTTCTAGAGCCTTGAACCATTCTAGAGCCTTCAACTTGAACCAAATGTCATTCCTAACTGGGCTATATTAGGTCTATGCTACACATGGCTAACACATCTAAGTCTACTTCCTCTCATCTTATCACCTATTGGAACCACCCCTAAGTTCCCCTGAATGTATTCATTCCAAAATTTATCCTTTCTTATCTTGCCAATCATCCATCTCAACATCCTCATCTTAGCTACACATCATATGAATATGTTGTTTCTTGAGTCTTGACCACCCAACATTTCGTCTCACAAAGCATGGCTGGTCTTACAGCCGTGCTTTGTGAATTTTCCCATCTGTAGGCTGCGATCACATAAACTCCAGATGCACATTTCCACTCCCTCCTTCCAGCTTTAATTATATGCGAAACATGTTCATCAATCCCTTAATTCTTCGAGATTATCAAATAAAGATATCGAAAATAATCTCTTCTAGGGATTTCTTAGCAATCAATTTTACCTACTTCCTCATTTCTACTCCTAGTATTACCAAACTTGCAATCCATGTATTATGTCTTCGTCCAACTTATTTTAAAACCTTTCGATTCTAGAGCATCCCTCCATAATTCTAACTGTGCGTTTAGACTCACCAATCAAAACGATGTCATCTGCGAAGAGCATACACCATGGCACCTCATCTCATAGATGCCTAGTTAACTTGTCCATAACTCCATATACAAAACAAAGCGACATGGACTCAATGCTAAACCGTGATGTACGTCAACTGTCACTAAAAACTAACTTGTCTCTCTACTATTCCTCACACTTGTTAGGACTCCTTCATACACATTTGTCACCATATCAATATATCCTCTAGAGACTCCTTTCTTTTCCAACACTTACCAAATTAACTCTCTAGGTAACATGTCATATACTTTCTCTGAATCAATAAAGCCTATGTGGAGGTCTTATCCCTTCTCCCTACTCCCTAAACTTCTCAATCAGTGGCCTAAGTAGGAAAATAGAATCAATTGTTGACCACCCTAGCATAAACTGAATTGATTTTCTGATAAACTCCTTTCAGGTCTTAATCCCTGCTCAATCACTCTCTCCCACAGCCTCATAAGTTTAATTCCTCGATAGTTTCCTTTGCTGTAAATATCTTTTTCTCCATTTGTCTAGCATTTTCTTTGTTGTCAACATCTTGTTGAACACTTGGTCAGCCAGAATGTCAACCTCTCCCATGCATTTCTAAATCACTATCGAGACACCATCTGGTCCTAAAACCTTTTCTATTTTATCCTTCTCAAAGCTTCTTTCACTTCAGATATCATAATCCTACAAATGCATCTATGACCTCCAAGCTCATTCATGTCAAAGGCTCCTCCTAACACTGTGCTTTTAACATGTTCGTCATTTAACAATTCTTGAAAGTAAATTCTCCACCTTCATTAACCTCGTCGTCCTTCACCAAGACCCTTTGATCATCACTCTTAATACATTGAATATAGGGAAAATATCTCCTTATCCCCTATTTTTGACTTCTATATCTCATGTTAGACCCAAGGATTGAAAATATTACTTGTAAGCAAAAGGTCTCCATCTTTTCTATTTTATAAACCCATGGACCCCTTTGACCATGAATTTTTTACCAAAAGAAACATGAAAATGACACCCTTTTCCGTTAACGTTAATCTCTTGAAGCACCCTCTCTCTCTCAAATCACCATCTCTCTCTCAAAACTCCATCTCTCTCTCTCTAAAACCCAAAGCTGCAGAGAAGTTCCCCTCTCTACAACTTCTCTCTCTCCTCTCTCTCTCTCTATCTCTAAAAATTATATTGCCCCTTTTGCACCCTAATATACCACAAACTCTCTAAAAATACTCATTGATCCGAAGCCCTACTACAGTGAAGAGACCTCACTTCCACCTCTTGTGACTCGATGCATTTTTTCCTGGGACGCCCAGGGCATTTCGTGCGTGGAGGTAGTATCTCTGGTCAACCTTTAGATTAGTGGGTATTTTTAGAGAGTTTGTGGTATATTGGGGTCCAAAAGGGGTAAGATAATTTTTAGAGAGAGAGACGATGTAAAGAGGGGAACTTCTCTGCAACTTTGGATTTTAGAGAGAGAAAGATGGAGTTTTGAGAGAGAGACGATGATTTGAGAGAGAGAAGGTGCTTCAAGAGATTAACATTAATGGAAATAAAAATAAAAATTGGAGAGGGTGTCATTTTCGTGTTTCTTTGGGTCAAAAATTCATGGTCAAAGGGGTCCAAGGGGTTATAAGATAGAAAAGATGGAGACCTTTTACTTACAAGTAATATTTTCAATCCTTAGGTCTCATGAAATATAGAAGTCAAAAATAAAGGATAAGGAGATATTTTCCGTTGAATATAATCTAGGTCCCTACACTTCCTCTCTCTCATTTTTGTTAGTTTAGAGGTATCTTTTCAACTTCTCTTGTCCCCAATTTATTGTATAGATTATCATATGCCTTAAGTTTAGCCTTATTATATTCTTAGCATTTTTATATTTTTTTAAGTTTTGAATATTTCTATTGCATTGCCAAGCTTTTATAACATGATCATTTTCACTAATAGCCTTTTGAACCTCATTACTCCACCGCCAAGTTTCCTTATCGAAATTTCTTTTCACTTTAGATTCTCCCAAGACTTATTTTGCCACTTTTTCAATACAATCAACTATCTTAATCCACATAATGAGATGGTTGATTGTATTAGGAAAGCGACAAAAGAAGTTTTAGGAGAATCTAGATGGGAAAAGAATTTCCGATAAGGAAACTTGGTGGTACAACAACTTTGTGATCATTCAACTAAATGAATTACAACATAATTTTCATCATAAGCTAAGTTTCAGTGAGTAGAATGAATAAGCAAAAAAGAACAATACCATGGAAAATGATATAAATTGTATGAATCAGCACAAATAAGCAGGGATACATTAAACACAAATAAACAAATAAAGATACAACAATTAATCACAGATGAAACTATGCATAATTAGACAGAACAGGAGATAAGGATAGGAAAAAAGAGATAACAAGAGGCATGAGATATACAGACACATGGAGAGAGTGAGTGTGTGTGTGGGAGGATTACATTCTAGAAGGCCAGGGGAGGAGTTCGTGATTGCAAAAATGGCGGCACTTTGGAAGAAGGAAAGTATTCGTTAAGCTCTTGTGTGTTACATGCGGCAGTAGAGAGTTCGACATCTCTGCAAATCAAACTGAAACCGTAAACTTTACCAAATTTAGGCATCAACTCAAAGCTTTGATATGAAGCCTTGAATTGATAGAAACAGAAGGAAATTAAAGAAGGATGGTGAGATATTTAATGATGGGTTTGTACAATGATGATGTTTTGTTTTCTATATCTTACTAGTCAAAGATGGATGGTTGGAGAATGTTGCTTCGGCACCTAGTTACGTATATCAGATGGTAGTTCGACCAATGCTGTTACAAGCCAATGAAATAAAAAGAGAGAATCTTCAGCTTTTAATTGACTAAAATTCATAAATTCTCAGTACACCATCAAAATCACAGAATTTTCAGATAAAACACAAATGCACAACTCAAACTAGTTATTTAATGCAAACAAAAGTATTAAAACTCCATGTGCTTCTTGATACATACTGGAGCCATTTATTTGCATAAATCTGATACAAAGATTGACAAGAGATCCAAGAGAAAAAAAGCCAATTAAATAGGTAGAAAAACCCGCCAAATTCATAGAAAACACAAAATAATAAGCCAACAGAATAAATAAGTTAAAACATAACTTATTTCTAGCAGGAGCTCTCATCCCAGGCCCCCCCTACCCTACCCTGGTTGTTGGGAGGAGATTTCAATACAGTTAGGTGGCCTTCAGAAAAATCGACAGCTGGTCCTCTCAATGCATCCATGAGTGGTTTTTTGGATTTCATTGAGAGCATCCCGCTCATTGATATCCCTTTATCAGGGGCCTCTTTCACATGGTCTAACCACGCAGAAAATCCAATTATGACTAAGATTGATTGCTTTCTGGTGAACCATCTTTGGGAAGATTCCTTCCCAGGTACTTGCTCTAGAGCCCTTCCTAAGACCACCTCTGACCACAAGTCCATTCTTCTAGATACCACCCCCACACAATGTTCTAATAAGCCTTTAGGTTCGAACTTTTTTGGATGTTTGATCCATCCTTCTTCCCCCTCTTCCATTCTATCTAGACATCTACTCCTATCTCTGGGTGGGTAGGGTATAGGTTGTCCAGAAAGCTCCAAATTCTCAATGCCGCTCTGAAACAATGGAGTCGTCAGCTTCCTTCCAACTTTTGAGTCCCAATTAGAAACCTAAATACCTTCATCTCAGATTTAGATCTCCTTGAGGAATCCCCAAGTCTTACCCCTCAAGAAAGGGAACAAACGATCCAAGCAAAGGTCACCCTTTCTCAGACCCTTAAGCAGGAAGAAACTTATTGGTATCAAAGGTCTAGGATAAAGTGGCTTAAACAAGGGGATAGGAATATAGGTCTCTTCCACAAAACTTACAGCTCAAGACCCAGGGGAAATGCTATCACTCAAATTATTGTAGGGCCTCTCTCCTTTACCCAACCCTCTCACATTAGTCGTCTTTTCATTAGATGTTTTAAGAATCTGTTCTCTAAACCAGTCCACCCTCGCCCAGTTCTAGGCAATATAGCATTCCAAACCATCTCCCCTGGGTTGGCTGCTTCACTTGAATGCCCTTTCACTTTAGAAGAAATCAGGAAAGCTGCTTTTGATCGTCCCAAGGATAAGGCCCCTAGCCCAGATGGCTTCCCTTTAGCCTTGTTCCAAACCCAATGGGAGACCACAGCCCAGACATCCATGCTTTCTTCCAAGAATTTTTCTTAAAAGCAGGACTTAACTCAGCTCTCAATTGCACATTCATAGCCTTGGTCCCCAAAATAGAAGGAGCTCATAGAATGTCAGATTTCCACCCTATCAACCTCCTCAATTCATCCTACAAAATCTTGGCGAAGGTACTTGCCTCTCGTGTGCAAGAGGCATCTCCCCAACCCAATCTGCTTTTGTTGCAAATAGACAAATTCTAGATGGTGCTCTGACGGCCCATGAAGCAATACATTCCAGGTCCGTGTCTGGTCTGAAAGGTCTCATCATCAAACTAGATTGGGAAAAAGCCTATGATAAGGTTGATTGGGACCTACTAGATTCGATTCAGACCCTCATGGGTTTTGGTTCACTTTGGAGAAAGTGATCCAGGCATGCATCTTCAACTCATCTTTTGCCATTCTCATTAATGGTTCCCCAAATGGATTCTTTCAAGCCCAAAGAGGACTTAGGTAGGGGGACCCCCTTTCACCCTTTCTCTTTGCACTCATTAGGGAACTCTTTTCCCAAACAATCTCCAGACTCTATGACAGAGGCCTTCTCTCGGGTTTCAGTACTTCTCCATCATGCCCAATTGTTACCCATCTGCTCTACGCAGATGACACCCTTCTTTTCTGTGAAGCTAACCCAACCCAAGTTGATTGCCTATAGAGTTTTCTGCGAACCTTTGAACTCGTCACAGGGATGAAGGTCAACCTCAAAAAGACAAAATGTTAGGAGTCCATGTAGGAGATACCGATTTGAGGAGCCTAGCACAACGCCTGGGATGTGCGACGGAAACTCTTCCTTCCTCATACCTAGGACTTCCTCTGTGTCTAGGAAAACCTTGAAAGGAACTGTGGGATGACCTCATTCAAAGATTCACATAGCAGTTCTCCTCCTAGAAGGGAAGGTTTCTATCTTTAGGGCGCAGAATTGCTCTCATTTGTGCCACCCTGGCCAGCATCCATGTCTATTACATGTCCTTTTTCAGATACCTATCTCAATCATCCAGCGGTTAGAGAAATTAATGAGGGATTTTCTTTGGTTTGGTGTGGAGGGATCTAAGAAAATACATCGAGTGGCTTGGGACATTGTATGCTTCCCAAAAAACTTTGGGGGTCTTGGAATTAAAAATCTTAGAACCATGAATCTTGCCCTCCTTGGCAAATGGTGGTGCAAATTTTCGTCTCCCCACCCATTCCTTTGGAAACAGGTTATACAAGCAAAATATGGTCCTACCAATGGGGAATGGATCCCTAGAGCCCCACCTCATGGATCTTCGGGAGTGTGGAAATGCATCTCCACGACCAGAAATGCCTTCTTACAGTGCAGTCGATATAGGTTAGGAGATGGCTCTTGCAGTCTCTTCTGGTCTGATTTGTGGATAGGAAACTCTCCTCTTTCAGTGGCTTTCCCTGCTCTCTTCCTAGTAGCAAGGGACCCTGAAGCATTCATAGCAGACTATGAAGTCCTTTCTCTCCCCCCTTTCTTAAAAAATGGCAAAAAGCTTTGGCACCTCTTTGTATCTGCCTTAATCTGGAATCTTTGGTTATAAAGGAATTCTCGAACTTTCAGAGGCACCCTGAAAAAAATAAAATCCATATTCGACTCCTCATTTGCTCTCATTTTTCTTTGGACCAAAAACATCCCCATATACTCTACAATTCCTTTACAACAGTTTCTTAATAACTGGGCATGCCTCATAAACCTATCAACCCAATCAGACCAACCTAGACCTCTTTGGAAGCCCCCTCCTTTGGGATTCCTAAAGTTGAACACCGATGGGTCTTCATTAGGAAACCCAGGACCCTTGGGCATAGGTGGCTCACTTGCAAATAGCACAACTGTTTTATTCACTTTCACTGAGTACATTGGGATACAGGACTCCACTTTTGCAGAGGCAGTGGCTTTACTTGAAGGACTAAAGAGGGTCGCTCAGTTGGGAATTAACTCTCAAGGCATCCTTGTAGAAGTTACTCCTCTAAAATTCTTCTTTAGGCCACTCGTCAAACAACAGCTCCCTTGGTCGCTAGCTTCTATATTTCACCATATTGATTTCTTGTGCAGCCTTCTCCCTCAAATTACCTACACGCATATTCACAGAGCAGCCAACTCTGAGGCTGACCGACTGGCAAAACAGGGAGCATCTTTAGGCGTGGGAGCCCAACAAATTGCTGGACAATAGTTACACGCTCCCCTTTCTCTCTCTCTCTCTCTCTACCTCCCCAGTCTAAACTCTTTCTCTTCCCCTCTTAC